CTTTCCTTAGACTCACTTTGAACCCTCACGTTCTTTCAGCGATGTGTGCAAATCCCTCCATTTTCTCTTGCAAAATGTCCGTTTGAAATTTTCATCATGGCAAAAAAAAAATAATAATTTCCATTATGGTTGTCTCTTCATCAACAGTGTCAGATTTGTTTTGGTCTTATTATTGGCTTGAAAATACTTCTCGGCAATTTGCTCAGTGGTCGTTTTTCTTCCATCTGATTGAATACTTGTTCCTGGGGATCCACGCTCTGGCCATATAACGTTTCTTCATAATTCTAATTTGTTGTGCCACTTTCGCGATAATTATTTATCAGAGTGTATTGAATCTGCTAGCAGGTCAATGTGATAAGGCAGTTGGTGTTTCGTCCGACAGTTTTGTTGAATTTAAGGGAATTACAGCCAACTTTGCCTTTCAAAAATTCCTCTTTGCGATTAGCCAATATACCTGGCAGATAATGTCTTTATAATTCTGAAGAAAATTTCTCTGGCCCATGTCTGGTTTTTTTTAGTCATTGAAGAGACTGGTATGTTTTTAAATTTTACCTTTTAGTCTTGCTGAAGGAGATAATCGCTGGTCAAAAGATATTATCATTTGTGAGGTTTTCACAAAAAAGTCCTGTATTTCAATAAACTTGCCAAAGCATTTTGTTATGTCACAAGTAGTTACCAAAAAGTAAATTAAAGGTTTACCAAATTTTGACTTTAGAATTGGGACATGTTTGTGTAGTAATTCTATAAGTACCAACGTTTTGCAAATAAACTGAAGAGGAGTTGTCTGTGAATAAAAACTTGTAACCTCTTTCCATTAATATCGGCAACAAATACTGGGGCAAACATGGTTCTCCTGTTTGAAGGTCAAGATGGTGGTAGTGGACGAAGGTCTCTTTCGTACCTATACAAATACCAATATGCATTGTTTGCGATGAAAAAGACGTCCGTAAGTAGTCTGAACTTCTCCGTGAAATCGAAAATGGGATACATTTTCTTTGCCACAAATGGATAAAAAAGGCCTTCGTTAAATTCAAACCCACAACACTTGGTGAAGTTGATCCAGATATGACGATCACAACAAGACGAATATTCCACTTATGACACCGATCGTCATGCTTATGTTGGTCTACTTGGCTTCAAATTAAGTAATGCAATTGTCAAACTGAAAATCAAGAACACGGCGTTGATGTTAGCATTGTTGTCAATAGCTCTGAGCATGTGTAAGAAATTGCTGGCTTTATTTCTATGTAAGTGTAAGATGCATGTGACTAGACGAGGCAAAGGGAACAGTAAGCTAAGATATGGTTAGATGTGGAAGCTGTACATTTAGTGAGTAGTAAAACCAGACGTGTCCTGTTTAAAATCTTCGAGATAAAGATCTTTCGATACGTGTAAGGCATACAAATTTCCAAAATTATCGTTTAAGTGCCTTAACCCAGGCATGAGTCACTTATTCCCAGCACTTTATATAGGGCGGGAGTTCATATATCAATGAAATCATATCAAACGATAACAAAACCGAATGAAAAATGAAATTATGTGATATACATGTCACGAAAATATAAATTATTCATTGTTTTCTTTACAATATGCTACGTTTCATCAGATAGTGGACACAACTCCCTAAAATCGTTTCCTGGGAAACATAAAATGTCAATGAAAAAACAATTTATAAAGTATTTTGTTGGTATTTGATAAATGCATCGATATCATTATGGTAAATGCTTAATGAATGGTACGTATTATAACCACAAGTGAAGTTACACTACCAGTTATAATTATCTGTATCACTGTAGTGCTGTGACAGAACAGTCAACTCCACCTCTACTCCATCCCCTTTCTTCCATTGTCTACACCACAGAACAGTCAACTCAATCTCTCTCCCATCCCCTTTCTCCCACTGTCTACACCACAGTACAGTCAACTCCATCTCTATCTCATCCCCTTTCTCCCACTGTCTACACCACAGAACAGTCAACTCCATCTCTATCCAATCCCCTTTCTCACACTCTCTACACCACAGAACGGTCAATTCCATCTCTATCTCATCCCCTTTCTCCCACTCTCTACACCACAGAACGGTCAACTCCATCTCTATCTCATCCCCTTCCTCCCACTCTCTACACCACAGAACAGTCAACTCCATCTCTATCCCATCCCCTTTCTCCCACTCTCTAAACCACCGAACGGTCAACTCCATCTCTATCCCATCCCCTTTCTCCCACTCTCTACACCACAGAACGGTCAACTCCATCTCTATCCCATACCCTTTCTCCCACTCTCTACACCACAGAACGGTCAACTCCATCTCTCTCCCATCCCCTTTCTCCCACTGTCTACACCACAGAACAGTCAACTCCATCTCTATCTCATCCCCTTTCTCCCACTCTCTAAACCAAAGAACAGTCAACTCCATCTCTATCCCATCCCCTTTCTCCCACTTTCTACACTACAGAACAGTCAACTCCATCTCTATTCATCCCCTTTCTCCCACTTTCTACAACACAGAACAGTCAACTCCATCTAAATCCCATCCACTTTCTCCCACTGTCTACACCACAGAACAGTCAACTCTATCTCTATTCATCCCCTTTCTCCCACTCTCTAAACCAAAGAACAGTCAACTCAATCTCAATACCATCCCCCTAATTTCTGTAAATGACTGCAGAACAACCGCTTTCGTCTGTATCCTGCCATTTTTTCTCTACAAATGTTTGACGAAATTTTTCATAATGCAACCACACCCTGTTCTGTCAGTGAACACAAAGTCCGTTAAAGTCAAAAGAGAGCAGTAAAGGTTTTGGAGTTTTGAAATAGTGGTTTGTGTTGTATTATTTAGATCGACAAACAATGTAATGGTACAGTAATAATTTGAACAGTTATCGAGCAGTTGCAAACCGCAATGGGTAGGAAAACGAACTGATATGATTGAGATTCTAATTATTTTTATAAGATGATCCTTCATGGATCATACCTTAAGCCCATTTGAGAGCAAGGACATAACATGTACTGTAAAACACTTTTTACATATAATGTTAAATTAATGTTGGATAGTATACGAAAACACCTAATCTCACGTTCATAGTTGTAATTTTATCAGCACCATCTTTCTTGTACAGATTGAAAGAAAATTCTGTTGCAATGCGTTTTGAATATAGGAACAAGATAAACATACACACTTTACATGCAGATAAGCAGTACTTAGTAATGATATGTACATATATTAAGAAATCTCGAGGGGATGAAACTTAAACTTAATTACACAAACCAACGTCGTGACGTACGCCGGAATTATTGATCCGGTTTAAACAGAGATACAGACACACAAACCAATATATTAGAATCAGTATCAGTTCTCTTGTGAATTGAACAGAATTGTATAACTGGAAAGTTAGGAGTACGAGACGTCAGCCTGGGTATTTAATTATCTTATTTATGTAGCTCGGCAATACTATAGTGTAGAACGATTAGTACTATATCTCTGTACAGCTTTGAATCTCCTTAATCCAACGGTTTTATTGGTACATGACTTTCTAGCACTAACCTCGCTACTTGTATCTCCCAGAGGTATCGTTAAACACGGGAATGAAATGAAAAAACAAATACAAAACAAACGTATGAATAATCAAACTTCCCACAACACGTATTGCACTGCAGTTCGAATTTCCGAGCAAATTTGCCGATTTCTTTTGTTCAACTGAGAACATATAGGGAGATTAAAATGCATGATAAAATATAATCGTGTTTGTAATATATCATTGTGTTTCGTGTAAACAGTGAACTGAATCCGCTAAAATCTAAATTTACGTGAACAGAGTGGTATATTGTAACCATTAAAAAGTAAGCAAATCACTGTTATTTCGTTCATTGATTATAATGCGTTCCGTCAGTGATAACTGTACTTCAGTGGAAATAATGTAATTAATTGTTCGCAATGTACTACTTGAATGGGAACACTGTACTACTTCAGTGATAAAAACGAAGTCCTTTAGTGGAAACAATGTACTAATTCATTGATCACAATGTACGACTTCAATTATCAAAATATAATATTTGATTGATCAAACTGTATAACTCCAGTGGACACAATGTACTACGGCATTGATAACAATATACTACGTCATTGATCACAATATACTACGTCATTGATCACAATATACTACGTCATTGATCACAATATACTACGTCATTGATCACAATATACTACGTCATTGATCACAATATACTACGTCATTGATCACAATATACTACGTCATTGATCACAATATACTACGTCATTGATCACAATATACTACGTCATTGATCACCATACACTACATCATTGATCACGACACACTACGACATTGATCACGACACACTACGACATTGATCACAATACACTACGTCATTGATAACAATACATTACGTCACTGATCACAATATACTACGTCATTGATCACAATATACTACGTCATTGATCACAATATACTACGTCATTGATCACAATATACTACGTCATTGATCACAATATACTACGTCATTGATCACAATATACTACGTCATTGATCACAATATACTACGTCATTGATCACAATATACTACGTCATTGATCACAATATACTACGTCATTGATCACAATACACTACATCATTGATCACGACACACTACGACATTGATCACAATATACTACGTCATTGATCACAATACACTACGTCATTGATAACAATACATTACGTCACTGATCACAATACACTACGTCATTGATAACAATACATTACGTCACTGATCACAATACACTACGTCATTGATAACAATACATTACGTCACTGATCACAATATGCTACGTCATTGATCACAATATACTACGTCATTGATCACAATATACCACGCCAGTGATCATAATGTGATATTTCAGTGATCACGGTTTTCCACATTTGTCCAGACATACTAATTTTAAGTGGGTTAAGGAAGACCTCCTCAATTATTCAGGAACTTTGATTTGAACTGTGATTTTTCTCCAGTTGCATACTCTACAAAGGACGTGGTGTATATGTGGCGGTATGGGGCGTCCTCCTCGGTTGAACTGGCGGCGGATATGACCTTATCACAGTTTGACCTCACCAATCACTCCGCCTCCTACTCTACAACTTTCAGAAAAGGAAGTATGTTTTCCTGTCAATTTCTTAATGTAGGTTGTAGTAAAAAATAAACATGTATCATTTGTGTTTTAACTTATGTTTGTATTTGCGAAATGTTAGTAATGTTGTTATTGTAATTATTCGAGTAAAAAGTCTTCACAATCATCATATCTCTGCTAAACCTTGTTCAATACGCCCATGTGGTCTAATTTAGTCCAGATGTTATCAGACCAGTTGTATAAATCCTCAATCATTGACATAAAGATGAGTAGTATTATATAATACTCATTTCATGATTACAGTGTTATTCTAAAACATTTTAAGTCGAATGGGCTGGTCGAAAAAAGTAACAACCTGAAATTACTAATGTAACAAAGCATACGTCTTAATCGTGGGAAATGTAATGAATATTTTTTATTCAACATATTTTTTACGCCGGTGTAGTGGAGCTATCGATGCTGTCTGTCCATTTCGGTCTGAAGCGTCATTCGGGGTACTTCCTGATCCACGTGGTGGTACCGTGTATTCTGTTGGTCATTCTGTCCTGGGTCAGCTTCTGGATCAACCGAGAAGCCACAGCCGATCGTATAGCGTTAGGTAACACGTGTTTGTGATCACAGCTGATTATCAGGACTGTTGGTGACAGTATCGAGTCAAAGATCGATCAAATACCTGATGTCGCTTATTATCAAAGTAAATGTGGATTGTCAAGTCTGTTACATGTAAATGTGGATTGTTAAGTCTGTTACATGTAAATGTGGATTGTCAAGTCTGTTACATGTAAATGTGGATTGTCAAGTCTGTTACATGTGGATTGTCAAGTCTGTTACATGTAAATGTGGATTGTCAAGTCTGTTACATGTTAATGTGGATTGTCAAGTTTGTTACATGTAAATGTGGATTGTCAAGTCTGTTACATGTAAATGTGGATTGTCAAGTCTGTTACATGTAAATGTGGATTGTCAAGTCTGTTACATGTAAATGTGGATTGTCAAGTCTGTTACATGTAAATGTGGATTGTCAAGTCTGTTACATGTAAATGTGGATTGTCAAGTCTGTTACATGTAAATGTGGATTGTCAAGTCTGTTACATGTAAATGTGGATTGTCAAGTCTGTTACATGTAAATGTGGATTGTCAAGTCTGTTACATGTAAATGTGAATTGTTAAGTCTGTTATATGTAAATGTGGATTATATGAAAATGTAGATTTTTCAATATGAAGTCTGTTAAATGTAAGGAAACTTTTTCTTTTACGCAATGTTGTATGAACCCAACAAAATTATTCGGGAAAATAGAACTTTGAGGAACGATTCCCTAACTCAATGTATCTTAGACGATTTTGTTTGAGGTTTTAGAAGTTATATAACATGTCCTTTATTTCAGGCACAACAACAGTACTGACCATGACTTTTCTAGCCTTGGAGAACAGAAACGACCTCCCCCGTGTGTCTTATGCCACTGCCCTGGATGTCTACGTCGCCATGTGCTTTCTTTTTGTCATATCTACCATCGTACAGTTTGCCGTTGTTCATCACTTCACAAAACGAGGTCACGGTGACCTAGATCATTCCGGCCAAAAACAAGAACCTAGTAAGGTAACAGTACACCACGTGATATAGAACTACGTAATGATAGTCCGCATGGAAATTACTTAACCACGTGCAACTACATTAAAGTAGGTATCCAACCAACACGAGCATAAAACTCTTTAGTGAACAATACAAATATGTCGGGACAGAAAAAAGGAAATTACTCCAAAGTCAAAAATATTTAGCGTTTTCATGCGTTTATAATATTATACATCAGTTATCTCCAAGTTCTGTTCTGTTTTAGATATCAAGCTACCAAACCAACAAACCAGCAGTTAATTATACAAAACTGTTAATGTGTCATTAGTGGTCTACAATACTGTTAGTGTGTCATTAGTGGTCTACAATACTGTTAGTGGTCTACAATACTGTTAGTGTGTCATTAGTGGTCTACAATACTGTTAGTGTGCCATTAGTGGTCTACAATACTGTTAGTGTGTCATTAGTGGTTTACAATACTGTCAGTGTGTCATTAGTGGTCTACAATACTGTTAGTGTGTCATTAGTGGTCTACAATACTGTTCGTGTCATCAGTGGTCTACAATACTGTTAGTGTGTCATTACTGGTCTACAATACTGTTAGCGTGTCATTAGTGGTCTATAATACTGTTAGTGTGTCATTAGTGGTTTACAATACTGTTAGTGTGTCATTAGTGGTCTACAATACTGTTAGTGTGTAATTAGTGGTCTACAATACTGTTAGTGGTCTACAATACTGTTAGTGTGTCATTAGTGGTTTACAATACTGTTAGTGTGTCATTAGTGGTCTACAATACTGTTAGTGTGTCATTAGTGGTCTACAATACTGTTAGTGGTCTACAATACTGTTAGCGTGTCATTAGTGGTTTACAATACTGTTAGTGTGTCATTAGTGGTCTACAATACTGTTAGTGTGTCATTAGTGGTCTACAATACTGTTAGTGTGTCATTAGTGGTCTACAATACTGTTAGTGTGTCATTAGTGGTCTACAATACTGTTAGTGGTCTACAATACTGTTAGTGTGTCAAATGACTTAGGATACAAGGATATTTTGACCGGAGTTAAGACACATATAAAATAAACATACTGCCCCTCCTCAACATCTTATCATTATTGCGGAGAGTGTGACGTCATCACCCACGAGTTATCGCCCCTGTCACTAATTGTCTTCCCTGTTCTGGTTGTCATGTTTCAGATAGGCCTTCCTATTTAACTTGCTTGACGTGTTGGTTTTTATGACGTCATTGATGTTTTTAGCTATAGTAAAGTACGTAATTCGACTGACGGGTTGGTTTTGACGACGTCATGGATTTTTTAGCTATAGTAAAGTACGTAATTCGACTGACGGGTTGGTTTTGAGGACGTCATGGATGTTTTTAGCTATAGTAAAGTACGTACTTCGACTGACGGGTTGGTTTTGAGGACGTCATTGATGTTTTTAGCTATAGTAAAGAACGTACTTCGACTGACGGGTTGGTTTTGGCGAAGTCATTGATGTTTTTAGATATAGTAAAGTACGTACTTCGAGTGACAGGTTGGTTTTGACGACATATTTGACCTATTTGGCTATGGTATAGTACATATTTCGAGTATTTGACTCTACTGTAGAGTGTATACAGAGGAGACAATTAGTGAAAGGGGAAATTACTCGTGAGAGGTGACATCAAACACTCAACCATAATAATAAGATGTAGATGAGGGGCCGTAGGTTTAGGGGGTTGTTAAGCGCGCCACCTTTGATTTCCGTTGCCCCCCAGCTCCTCAATACACTTCATATTATCATACGCTAACTGCGTTACTATATTAATATTAACGAAGAAATGAAAACGGCCTTCAAATGTAGAGTGTCCATGAAAATATCGAACATTTACACGTGGCTATATATAGGTTTCCGAGACACGTTCAGTATAGACACCCGGTAAGTCATAATGTACTTTTGGTCTTAATGGACAATTTTTGTAAAAAGTAAGTCTGAGGCAATGGGCTGTCTGGCCATATATGTTGTATAGTGTATCTAATCATGTTAATGGGAAGTATCATAATGACTTACTAAATTCTGTATATATATATACAGAATTTTTTTGTTATTATCATTAATACTAGCTTTTTTTTTTTTTTTTTTTTGATCACTGTTAGCAGTCATACCGAATAAGCTTGGTCATACTTTAAAGTTAAAGTTTTAGCACTACTGAGGCATTAATGACATACTACATCTGTTGTGTACCTGGTTCTGTAAGCCTTCCTTATTCTCAGGTACAAGGAAAGATAACTCTTCATTGTAACACGTATTACCTAGTCCTATTTACCAACAACACAACCATGTTTAGAGCGGTGAAAACAATTCGGAACTTATCTAATGTGATTAATAGTAAAGTTAAATAATTGAAATGAAATAGGTCTAACTATGACAACAAAAACGCATGCTTAGACAAAATTTCATTCTTTGAAAACTGTACCGAAAAGCTGAAAGGAATTAGTGTTTTGCCTAATCTAAGATAAGTGATGAAAGACCAAATTCATCTTGGTTGTCTTTGTGGCCATTGTCACGCAAAGAATTCTGTGTTTTTGTAGCTTTCAGAATTAATGATGTGGAACTGAGTTAAATACAATTATGATTTTGGAATATCTTTATAATGTTTTAAAGAAAACTTGCTTTCAGAGAGACGAGTATCATTTCAATGACTCTATATAAATACCACATGACCATCTGTTCAGTAACACGGGATATAAAAAAACTCGTACAAAGATAATCTGTACTACATTCCTTCGTCGTGTTTGTGACGAGATATTGATCGAGTAATTTTTACACTTTGTAAGAAATCAGTTTAATTTCTCAGGGAATTATTTACTTGTTAAATTGTTTGATGTATTTCAAATTTACTTATTATTCTTATATGATGATTCCTCGAAGCCGAAAACTGTTTTGCAGGCTCTACAGAGAAAGCCCGCCATCGGAAGAGTACGGTTTCGGCGGCAGAATGGCACCTCTACGACGTCATCAAGAATATTTGTTTCCCGGGCGGGTGACAGCCGGTTCGGAGTGTGGCTGTCTAGTCTACGCTTTCGTCGTCAAGCCCGAAAGTCCACTCTAGAGCCCAATAGTGTTAGTAAAGTGGATAAAATTTCAAGGCTTATGTTTCCTGTTGTTTTTGTAATCTTAAATTTAGCATATTGGGTGATATTTTTGTCATAGCGAGTACTGGATGTTAGGAAACAGCCCTCAATAAATAAACAATGGTTACCATCTGGAAAGAACATGGCCGAAATACCCAGTTTTTTATCATCCGGTGTGTTTGGATTAAAGAATTTCAGCAGCATTTGTTGTGCTCGAGTTGGAAAGAACAAAAAGCCATGCAATTCATATTTCCGGACTGAAATTGGACAAACGAAGTTATACAGTGCATATTTTGTTTGTGTTATAAAGATTGAACGTCCATATTGTGTTCATATCATTAGTGTTATTCATAATCAATATGTTTTGTCCGGATTAACATACCTGTCTGGATTAACGAGATAACGTACTTACGTGCTGTAAATGGGTAAATGAACTAGGTGAATATATTAGGTCTATAGTAGCAAGGCGGTATTGTACTCTTTATTTTCAGGTTAAAGAATATCTGCTGTAGGTATCGACGGATTTATGAGTATAAATTCTACTATCCGGATCCGGATAAACGAGGATCTGTTATATCTGTATAATATTAATATCAAGTTCTGGTTCTCCACTAACATGTTTTGTCTATGTTGTAAACAGAAAGTATTTTGTATATGTTTGTATCAACATAACTTAATTTTGTTGTGCATCAAGAATTCGGATAAGCGATGTTGGTGTGACCTATTAATGAAGAAGATTGTATCTAATTTATCAAGATTATCCAGGCATAAATTCGTATGTGTTCGAACTAATGAAGTTCTGTTCTACTTGCACATAATGAAGCCAGCTTTAGGGGAATATGTTGAATGCTATACCAGTACTATTGATTTACAAATTGGTGTCGTGTAGGAGGTAGTGTAAATAGACTTTGCTCTACTGGTGTCAAGAAATACGCAAACTTCAGCATGATGTCTTTTAGTACATTTTTACAAGGCGTTGCCCATCTTGTTTGTCAATACCTTCAACGTTCCCATGATAAGATATCAAGACTACTAAGACTTTCACCAATTCGTAGTTTCCGCTTAATATGCTGACTATATTCTTTGTCGAAGATCTTCTGTGAATAATGTTATTTAATTCACAAGGTTACCGCAGTCAATGACACGAGTTTATGTTTTTCCTCTGCGGGAGATGATAATACTGTGTTTTTTTTTTGTACATATAATCTCGATTAAGTACTACTGAAGTTGAACTCTACTTTGCCAGATTTCAGTTTGATGTTTGTTCACATTTACGTGACGATAATACAATTTTGTAATCGATTATTAACTTTAATTTTTTACATCAATAGCAAAACCAGCTGTTATTGGTGACTCGAACGCCAGAGCTCGAGAAATACATTGTAGGTCATGTGACCATATTAATGCGTCACCAATATTGTGTTCGGAATAACGAGGTAACATCGTTATTTTGTTACCTCGAAGTATGCAGTGATTGTAAAGCTGCATTTTGATTTACAGTGGAAATAATTTTAAAGATGCATTCTGATTATAGAGACTACACTTTAAAGATGTATCCTGGTTACAAAGGCTACACTTTAATTCTGGTTACACAGGCTACATTTTAATTCTGGTTACAGAGGCTACACTTTAATTCTGATTACAGAGGCTACACTTTAATTCTGGTTACAGAGACTACACTTTAATTCTGATTACAGAGACTACACTTTAATTCTAGTTACAGAGACTACACTTTAATTCTAGTTACAGAGGCTACACTTTAATTCTGGTTACAGAGGCTACACTTTAATTCTGATTACAGAGGCTACACTTTAATTCTGGTTACAGAGGCTACACTTTAATTCTGGTTACAGAGGCTACACTTTAATTCTGGTTACAGAGGCTACACTTTAATTCTGGTTACAGAGGCTACACTTTAATTCTGGTTACAGAGGCTACACTTTAATTCTGGTTACAGAGACTACACTTTAATTCTGGTTACAGAGACTACACTTTAATTCTGGTTACAGAGACTACACTTTAATTCTGGTTACAGAGCTACACTTTAATTCTGGTTACAGAGGCTACACTTTAATTCTGGTTACAGAGACTACACTTTAATTCTGGTTACAGAGACTACACTTTAATTCTAGTTACAGAGACTACACTTTAATTCTAGTTACAGAGACTACACTTTAATTCTGGTTACAGAGACTACACTTTAATTCTAGTTCTGGTTACAGAGACTACACTTTAATTCTGGTTACAGAGGCTACACTTTAATTCTGGTTACAGAGGCTACACTTTAATTCTAGTTAAAGAGACTACACTTTAATTCTGGTTACAGAGGCTACACTTTAATTCTGGTTACAGAGACTACACTTTAATTCTAGTTAAAGAGACTACACTTTAATTCTAGTTACAGAGGCTACACTTTAATTCTGGTTACAGAGACTACACTTTAATTCTGGTTACAGAGGCTACACTTTAATTCTGGTTACAGAGACTACACTTTAATTCTGGTTACAGAGACTACACTTTAATTCTAGTTACAGAGACTACACTTTAATTCTGGTTACAGAGGCTACACTTTAAAGATGTATTCTGATTATAGAGGCTACACTTAAGTATTAAGTATGCAACAGTATTACATGAGTTTTTTTAACATGTATGTGTACATTTATCAACTAGGCCATAATACAATGACACAATTGCAAGTTAAATAAGGATATATTATAGCGATGTTATACCCTATGTTTTGTAGTCTAAGAAAGCATGTGTGGTAAAAAGACAACTCCTTTGATAATACGAAATCTTTTTTTTAAATATTTTTTTTCTCTCTGTATCAAGAATATCTAATTGTAACACCAAGAGTTGTATTGCGATAAGGTATGAACATTTTAACAAAAGTTCATGTCGGTTGCATGGGATCAGAAACGATCCTGTGCTGGTGTGAAAGTACTGTTCAGTTTATTGTTATGAAATTGTGAAATGCTTTACTTTACTATACTGATAAAGTGAAGTCCCTTGTCCCAATGTAAATTTATCCACACTGGGCATACAAATATACATCTTTTTTAATTTTCATTTTGTTTTTTATAAAGATTTAATTAGTAAAAATGTAATAAAATGCTTCACTGAATCAGGGTAATTCAAACATATTTGTGGAAATAAAAGTTTATTACTATGAAAATAGTGAAATGATTCACATTACCTTAATATATGTTATACATGTATTTTCTTTCGCAAGGTTAAGATAATCTAATTTAGGTTTTTTTATAATGCATATTGCCTTAATGAAAGCATGTGTAATTCTTTTCCTTTGTTAAGTACTGAGTGTTATTCTGAATAACTATCAAAACCCTCATAAACGAAACCGTGATCTATACTTGACCCGAAGAATCCGAACCCTTGTCTTGTTAATCATTGTCTATAAATAGCTAGAAGACTACATCAGTTAGAGTGCATCTGCTCATCCGGCGCCATGAATGTCACAATCTGACTGAAATATTTACCTGCAAAAATTACAGGTTGTGCTCACCATACAGTAAGGACTGGATTTGTTGGAGACGGTTATTGTCAAATAACTCCATAATTATATCATGAAAACATTTATCTAGCGACCTGTCATGTTTCAGTGAATATATTCTAGGCAGAATGTTAATTCCTTTTGTTCATTAGTTGCGTTTAGGTTCACAATATTCTTTCCTTTCTCTCACAGCATAATTACAATATATATTGTATATTTTCAAATTATCGTTTATTATAATTAATGAAGTATCATAACCGTTTACATTTAATTAAAAACAATGTAAACGAGGTATTTTCACGACACTGAAATTTATTGCGCAATGCAATGTTATATTAGAACAAAACACTTTATAAATTTACACTACTTGGTGTTCGTGCGGCGTCATATTGTATAAAGGTCGGCCGAGACACGGATCCGAATAAAAACTTTTACTTGATGTTCTTCTAAAATTAATATATATATGAAATTTACGAAGTGTACTCAGTTGCCTCCTTAGTGTAACATTTAAGCTCTTAGCAGCACCTACCACACCTAGATGAACGAATCAGCTGTATGACACTGTTTTATTTCTTGTTTCTCTCAGTAGTATCATACCTTAATTTGTATTAAATGTTGATATTCACCTGTGTGTCTTCTGTGCAATTTTCATAGTAGAAAGGTCATATTTAGTTCCCTTTTTTACATCGGGATCTGCATTTTGTTTACATAATGTACTGTTATTGTTTCGCTTTTCCCTGAACGTGCAATATGTAAGTAATACATGCTATACAGTGACCACTATTTCATTTCTGCGTTAGGAACGGAAGGAGATGGATTCACGTAAGTATTTGTATCTGTTTCTGATTTCTATCTTTTTTGTATCAGTATGTACTACTGCAATAAAGGATGAGAATAAAGTTTAAACTAAATAAGTAACAAAAGACATCTGGTCATGTGATATGTCAGTGTAAAATAGCAGTTCTCCATTATATAACACAGATCTAACACTGATTATTATACTAAAACATACCACCCAGACAGAGTCTAGCATTTAGACAATTCATTATTTTATTTCCGTGTCAAACCTTAACAAATTCATTCTTAACACAGATGATATATGGATATGCAATTAAATTAAAACAAGAAAATACCGACATCTCAACATTATCATATTGTGAACAAACGAAATATTTACACAGAGACTGCTAAGAAGTACAGAGAGAATAAGACCAGGTGTTCCGGAAGGACACTAGCCTTTTAAACCTTGGTCAATCAAAGTAAGTAATGTAACGTTTTCTAATGAGGACAAGGTATACAACAACGGAACCAACAGGCAAACGATCATCAAACACGTCCAGCTTCATATTGTACAAAGAAATATAACCTTTTTTAATGATATCATCATGAGGACCGTAAAACCTCACTAATAATTTACGTCAACCTATGTCACGAAAATCGTGACAACTGGAACATATATATTTATGGCATGTCATAAAGACTAATCACACTCAATACAATACAGTAATATCTTTTTGTTTAAAAATAATTATTAAATAAGTTATACTCACAACAAATAGTGTTTTTGTGATATTTTATAAAAACACGTACCATGTTGAACTGATACTTAAGGAAATAGTTTTAACTACAAAACACAGATAAATTAACACTATGGAGAAGACTTTCATCACTTTTATATACGATATGAACGTCATCCCCGGATTCCCCCACATTTTGTATAGTTTATAGATCTCCTGTACTATAAATAGGTGTATGTTTTATGCTATGGACGTTATAGATTGTCAATGTATCATACAACATAACTATTTATTCGTGTACTTAATCATACTCGATATGGTTTCAAAATAATAATAACGGAAAGAAAAATATAAAAAGGACGGGAAAATGCGACGATTGTACTTGCATTATGTTATCATGTCAGCAAATCGGTCATATATCATGAATACACAGACTAATGTCAGAAAAAACCAATACAGAGGTCAAATTGTCGTTCCAAAGACACTTTAACAAGACTTCTATCTCCTTTTCGGAAATCCAATGCTGTATAAAATTAATTCATTGGAGAATCCGAAACCCGGTATTCCTTCAAGATATCAATTAATTTATTACATTTATCATATGTAATTACAAACACTTTATTTGTGAAAGTTCCATAAATTTAATAATTGCATCGATAGGAATCTTTATTTTACATGAATTCCAAGAATTATCGATTTTATTTTACCATACAGCTGAGCTAGGGATGGTGTTTTGTATCCTGCATGGCGTTTATCTACTTGTTAGTGTATTTAGATGAGAGAGAAAGTGTGTTTAGACAGTGAAGTTACAAATGTAGTGTTATCTACAATGACTACTATGTCTCTCTGATCATGTACAGGATCTTATCTGTTTTTCCATTAAGTTTAGTTTTAGAAATTTTGAAAGGTTCATCAGACCAGCTGATTCTTTCATTACTTATCATTGAACCTCTTAACAATATTATCTACACATCGTTTTTTCAATATTCGTTTAAACGTCGGAATAGATTTCCTATTCAGTAGGAAGTAATTACGTTCTTAAAAGGTTAAGTTCAGTATCATTAAATGCTCTTCTATAACCTTAACTCTTTATTTTATACTTCAATTATGAACGTGCCCCAAGCATTATCATATGCATGGTTTTTCATCGCTCATGAACGTTAAGTTTCTGCCTCACTAAAATTCCTCAGTGGCTATGGATATTTTGGAACAAAATACAAAATATAACATTTTGTTATTGATACGATTTGTAGCATTAATTACAAACTATAAATGGGTAGTCTACAGGAACATAGCACAACCACATTGAACTGAACTATTACAAAAGTATCACATCTGTGTATTATTTTGTTTGATAAAATCATTATTTTGATTCATTTTGTTTTATTGTCTATTTATTTCTCGCGTCTGCCCACGTTGGTAACCTTTATTTTCGATACAATGTTCTCGCCAGCCGATTGCTACAAAATTACACAATTTTATTTTTTAATTGCCTGAAAATTATAATTGCATATAATTGAACAAGAGACTTGTCAATCTTGTAGTTTCTTGAATATTCATTTGATGACAGCCTGTGTCAAGGAGACAGATGCGATGGATATGTATAGGCGCTTAACTAGTCTAGATGTAAGAATAAGGTTTATAGATTATTAAGACGATGCACACCTACATGGATGGGACCAACTAACGAACCAATGCATAGTATCATGATTGTACTGATATGCCATCCTCACCTGCGAAGGAAAGTTTGGTATTCAAATAAACGGTTTAAAAAAAGGAATGAGTGGATGCAATCTAACACGACATGCCTTGTTGTGGTTTCCGTATGTCAACAAACCACATTACCTTGTCAACGCGAGGGTTAGCAAGACGAACATGGTCTTACCATATGATCATTCTCGTTGATTGTTTTTGTTTGTCTGAAATGAGATAATTTCTATATACATTTATCTCTATTAAATATATGATAATACGTTAAATCCATACGTTATTCGTCTACAGATCCAAATATATCGATGACACAATTCCATTTTTAAATATTCAAACGAATAGATTATGTATCATACATTTTTCATATTGGAAAAAGGCGTATCTCCCTAACCTCTTCTTTTTCTTTGGTAGGTGTATGGTTCCAGTATGTTTCCTAGCATTGCCTGTATTTGAGATATTTTTTTCAACTAAAACGCCTTGTTCATAATATCAGGACAAAAAAGTTGTTAATACAAATATATGCTCATCATCTTGTCGAAATGTGATGAAATCTTATTTGAGAATACAAAAAACTTATCCATACAGTTAACGAATCTAACGTTTTGTTATACAAGAACTAGATCATAGTTTGATGTTTTTGATATTGATTTGGAAGTTTTCTCAGCGTTTAGTCCTCATAAAAATGAAGATATCAAAGAAGTCGATGAAATATGGTATTTCATTTGATGACCACACATCCAGTGATGTTTCTTAATTCGATATATTAATATGTTATGGACGATCTAACGGTAAGTGCGATACTCCAGTCCACCTATGGTGAAGAGTTTTAATAACAGATGAAAATGCGCAAAAAATACCCGAGAGAGTTTTCAAAAATAACTAAATATGCTGAAATGGATGAAAAACGAGCCATTGTAAAAAGGACCCATTCAATGAAAACGTGAGTTTATCATGTTCTATCAAAGAGATATGAAGGTCTGTCATCATAACCGAACAGTTTACAGTCTGGAAGAACGTATTCTCTGAACTTCTCCAATAGCGGTTTGCTCACTGTCCTGTAAATATCTATCATGGACTTATGTTTGTACTCGGACACACGTGACGGGTCACTGACTTTGACTGCCTCCCGATATAACAGATCCATGGTAACGTTTGTTGCGGTGGGAACTGGAGCGTCAGGACTGATCAGCCCTCGTATCTGTAGCGTCCGCCACGCGCGCGTGTACATGGCCTCCCACGTCATACAGTGTGCCATCTTATTCCTCAAACTGAAAGTTTCGTTTAACACGTGGTAAATGGATAACGTCACTGAAGCGTTCTTTGATAACTCAAAAGACGTATTTTGGAAAAGTTGACTTCTTGAGATGATATAGGAGGCGTCTTCGTCAAAGTTTTCCATTGTACCAACAAAATCATATTTCATCTCACATGGTAGGCAGTGGGTGTAAATTTGTGAGAAATGCACATCAACATTATTTTGAAGCTTCCTTTGTTTCATAATCACTAAGTATTTAATGAATTCAACGAAAGTCATGTCATGACCACATGCAAGACTAGCTTGTGTTGCATTCTTTCGTAATGCTTTAATGATTCCCCGTCCTAACGAATGCATGTAATAATAGTTGAGAGAGTATAATTTATCCACAAAACCAGAAAAGGCACGTGCATACGGCTCACGGACAAACATTGCCTTTTTGGATGTCTGAATGATTTTCAAGGAATTTTCGATAGTGAAGTTCCGTAATGTCGGCAGCAAGTCATTGTGTATATGATGATGAGGAATGGAGTACAAGTTTGAGTATTGAGGATGATAAAGGAGATGGAATACTCTTCTCCAGAATGTACTTCCTATCTTCTCAACCATACAGTAGATAAAGTTGTGCTTTGAGTCATATAAAAAGTTCCTGTCTTTTATGGAAACCAATTTCGGCAAAACCTGATACACTTCTCCTGCTTGACAAACTTCCGAAATATTGAAACGCCTGGCTTCAAAGCGATTCTTAATTCTTTTATCGTGTGAATCTTTAAACCCAAAACTGTTCACCATTTTCTTCTTGTCTTCGATTAAGTATGACTGTGAACAAAAATTCCATAAATGAGATGTATAGTTTAGTTAACTTTCACTTAGTCTGTATTCTCTTATTTCACATGAAAACAACTATCATTATCAGTATACAAACTCAAAATCAATAAAACTATGGCAAAATGTGAACAAAAGAAAAAGTATAAGGAGAATGAGGCATTTTCAACCACCTGAGGCAAAGTTACACAAAAACAAATAAAACAAAACAGTATTGCGATGGGCACACCTTTTTAAACAGTTTTGCAGTAACCCTAACCAACAGCGTGGTGAGTGAGGGACCAATCAAAGCCTGCAACGTGTCTATTCCTTTGTAAGGTACCATTTACATCAATGTTGTGTCGATGTAGTACAAGATGAGCACATATATTTAGCTTAGTGATAGGAGCTGTACATTAGATATGTGTTCGTACTGCGATATGTAATTCACTAATTTGAATAACTGAATACTCCTACACAGCAGTCAAATGACAAATTAACTAGAAATGGTTTGGATTTATTTCGAAATGTTCTATGTAAGAGACCAAGTGTTCTACATACCTTTTCCTCATTAATGTTAGCGCTACTAAAAAACTGGGGATAATCTGTAGAACAAAGAAAAATGTTTTAATTATCTTTTACATTTTACATACGACAACTTTTTAAAGATGTGAGACGTCTTACCGTCAATTATCAGCGTTTTGAACGTTTTTGTTGACAGAAATACTTATTTTACCTGTGGGCGCTAGCCTCAATTTATCAACCAGCTCACTTGCAAGATGTTATAATCACGAGTTATGTCTTGTTGATAATTTTATACGTAAACTCCGTATGACAACAAAACTAAAAAAAAGTACGTCGAAGAAACAATTTTAAGCCTTGGATGTTTTGATATTGTACTAAACATAAAGTACATACATATATTCTACAAATAAAAGATAAATGAGACTTGTCAATAAAAACAAACATACAGAATAGACAATGACATTAAACATTAATCAACAGAAAAAATAAGGAAAACAACAGTTCGAACTCAATTTCTCTAGCAGATTGGTGACAAACCGAAGGTCTCTAGTGTCCCAGTTGTTGAGTAATGACTTCCTGATAGTATGTGTAATGTTTATTCAACAAAGCAAGCAGAGAAAAATCAGCTATTCACATTTTATGTCAGTCGAATGAAATATTTTCAGGAATGCTTGCAATGGAATCTAACTTACGTTTAGGCAACTTACATCTGTAAATTGTTTCTGAAACAAATTTTTTCTTTTTCATTTACCTTCTCCTTAGTATAGTAAGGGAACCAGCAATCATTGAAAAGTAAGTGGCAAATCCCATCCCAAAAATACCTTACAGTGATAGATAGATAATACAAACCTAAAACAGTGACATCCTGGAGACAATATAAGAAGACTACACTCGCGAGTGTGAACACGCCTATAGTTAACCACCAGGGCCACCTCATGACAGGACAAGTAAATTCTAGTAGCCTGCAACCTGTAAACGATATATAAGCAAATAGTAACCAATATCAGTGCATTTCTCTTCGTTTATGCACAGCAATTTCATAAACAGGAAGTCGGTGCTGACATTCCAAGTTCCTATTAAAGGAGTGGTTCTTCAAAAGTAATTAAACTATGCTTTAAGCAATGAGTGAACTTTACTAAACCAAGGATTCCTGAAAAATTATTTCCTAATACGTTACCCTAAACCAGGAATTATTTGTGTCTAAGTAAACAAGGTGTTCTTAATTCCAAAAACTGAACCAGGGATTGTGGGTCTCCAAGTAAACCAGGGGTTACAAATACCTCAATCTAAACGAGGTATATTTAGAGACTAAGTAAACCAGAGGTTATTAATACCTCACCCTAAACAACTAATACATCACCCTAAACGAGGGATATTTAGAGACTAAGTAAACCAGGGGTTACTAATACATCACCCTAAACCCTAATTAAACCAGGGGTTGTTGATACCTCACCCTAAACGAGGTATATTTAGAGACTAAGTAAACCAGGGGTTACTAATACATCACCCTAAACGAGGGATATTTAGAGACTAATTAAACCAGGGGTTGTTGATACCTCACCCTAAACGAGGTATATTTAGAGACTAAGTAAACCAGGGGTTACTAATACCACCCTAACATTTAGAGACTAATTACAAATACCTAACACTAAACAATGGATTGTTGTTATCTATGTAAACCAAGGGTTCTTAATACCTAACACTAAACAATGGATTGTTGTTATCTAAGTAAACCAGGGGTTCTTAATACCTAACACTAAACAATGGATTATTGTTTGGATTCCTGACGTCCAACTAAGCCATGGGTTGTTGATCCCTAACCAGCTATGATTTTCCCCGGTCTCCAACGAAACCATAGATTCCTGAATTAAGTAAACTGAGGATTCATAACCGTAAATCCAATCAGGCGTAACAAAGTATAACACACTTCTACCTTAACCAAGAGCTACTACTATCCAAGTCAATCATGGTCTTCTGATCGCTAACAAAATCAAATGTTTTATGATGCTTAATAAACCAGTGGTTCTTTATGTTTAACTTAACGATTGCGTCTTTATCTCTAACAGTAAATCAGAGATTCTTGGACAATTAAGTAGCCAAAATTACCGGAAGTGTAAGTAATCAGAGGTTTATTACCTATCAATAAAACGTTCTGTTGTCTTACATTTGAGTGACGGACATTTATGTAGTTCGCTCAGGTCACATGGTTAAGCTGATCTCGACAAAAATGTCACAGGTAACTCATAGTGACAAATGACTAGGTGTATTACATAGAGGAAAAACAATGGCGCATAAATCAAAAAGAATATACATATCTCTCAAGTGATATTATGATTACTGATGCATACATAAAAAACGGCACACCATATACATAGGCCATGACATATAATATCTTACATGCGTTTCCAATTCATATGCGATTTGTGTTACAGGTCTAAGCAAACATTTCCTGTTTATATAGATCTTTCATGTAAATTGTAAACAAATCTAGGATCCTTTTTTATAGACGAGCAATTTTTTTTAAGAATTTTACAGAAAAAAAGTCCTTTCCATTGTTAACGATCCTCATAGCTCTTTAGCATTGGCCTTCATCGTAATGTATTCGGTAAGGTAGTGGTTACATGTCATCGCCATCTCCCGACGACATGGTACATGATCTTATGGACCGAATGGACTCGCTCGTGTGATCTAACACTGTATACAGTATTACAGCCTTTTAAATGTATTGCAGTACGTCAAAAAATATTTCGTCGATACACAATTTTAAAATAAACTTACAACACATAAGTAAATAGAAGATCAGATTAAGAAAGAGATATTCAGACAATTACTGTGAGATGAAGTCGAAAACAGTTCATATCGAGAAAGGATGTAATGGTAGAGAAAGCAGTTCGTGATTAGCGGCTATCTATTGTTATTTACTTCGTTAGAGAGAACAATGTGAGGTAACCTTTTGTTCTACCGTGTCGTACTTTATATTTACATTAGCCATTTTAAATTCTTACTTATATATCTTACCTTGATCCGTCAGATTAATCCTAGCCTACATTTCACGGTGGTACAGGATCACTTATTCCGCGTACTATGTGCCATCTACATTTCCGTGATACATACCAATGTGAACTCGCTGATTATTGTGGTACCTGTTTCCGCCCCTGGCTATAGAACATGTCGTTTATAATGAGCTGTACAATTTGCGCAGGGCTTTTGGTCATTCACCAACGATCATTGTGACACATATGTCATCGGCTATGATGCTTTTTTATGTTCAGGCGACAGTGCACTGCCACCGGGCAAAATTTCTTCGCGCCTAATTTTGTAATATGTATAAACGTAAATATTAAAGACAAAACCGCCGTCACATTTATAAAGCAAAGCCTTCTAGGTAATTATTGTGCAATTACTTTTCATCACTACACCCAAAAAAAGTCGGGTAGCATGTGTCTGTTATGTCAGTAAATACGTTAATCAAACGAGAGAAAAAAACGAAGTTTTATGTTTATATTGAACCAAATGCTGTAATGTGTGTTTTGTCCCATCAGGAGCTAGTAGATCGCTTTTTTCGTAAATTTATCAAAACCTACGTAAAATGAGAAAAAGGTTCCCTTGTTTTATGATATAGTACTCACTGTTATATAAACACAGATTTCACTCTACAATAAAACTTCAGGATGGTAAAACTGTTTACTCGACAAGTATGAAACTATATAATAAAACTTCGCCAGACAATATGTTTAAATACAACGTTAATCCCTGTCACTCGAGTATTAAAAATGAATTATAAAGCGAAAAGGACTTACGATCTGGTATACTAATAAAGTCTTTATCTATAACAGAAATTATATAATTATAACATAATAAATCGTAAAACAAATACTTTGTTGATAGGTTGTCACTTGTGTGACACACGTGCGTGTTTCTTTGGCTGTTTGGATTTGTGTAATCAATTCCGTTACATATGTATGAGATTGTCCAAAAGACACACAAGTGAGTAGCGCGAGAGTTAGATACAGCCAAGGGATGCATAATTAAATGTGTCACTAAATCTGAGTAATTTCATCTTTACAGTCTTAAACACATACATTATAAACAGATAACAGCAAGCATAGAAAGTTATAATTGTATATCTAACGCTTTCGTGTAACCTAACTGTTGTATTGCTAAATAGCCGAAAATGTTCGATGGAAATACGGTCTTTCAAATTTAAATATTTTTACATTATATATGACAGTATCATTAAACAGGCATCATTGCGAAGTTAAAAGCTCATTATACATATATGTGCAAATATATTTAAATGAATGAATTAATGCATGACAATCTGAAGCGTTTGGCTTCAGTTACATACGTTCACCCTATTAAAGGTAAAAGCTTGATGATTTCAGCCGTAAATTAGAAAATAAAAAATGGTATGTATCGAATACGACAACGCACATGAAAAAGTTCTACTTATTTAAGGATAAAAAGTCGATTATATCTATATAAAGAGAAAAACAACATAACAGGGATGTTGACGATTTTTCCTTTTTCATATATTTCATGTCAGAACATGCAGACGTAGTAATGACCGTGTCTTCAGGTCCTAAATTAATATAGCGTGACATTAATATTAAATTTTCTCACAATTATTATCATTTCATTAACTCTTCCTCATAGAAACAACTCAAACAATAAACATCTGCTATGTTAATCTTAAACACTCTAGAAGTTATAAAAAATAAGAGATGACATTTAACATTTATTATGCTGATAACAAACAAAGGGAGAAAACAGCACGTATTCAAGACAAAAGAAACATTTTCTGAAAGATAATTTCTGATTGATCAAAGGCAATGACAAAAAGTTGTTGATTAGATATTTTTGGAAATACAATTATCCGTAATTAGATATAAATTAAATCCTGTATTTCCGGTTACTATACGATATATATATGTTTTAAGTATCGTGATGTGAAAACAGCATAGCGTTTGTCCTTGAGCGGGACATTCCTTATCTGAATTTTTTAGAAGTTACCGAGGAAAATTTATTGGATTATGGAATTAAATAAAGTGTTACCTCACCAAGAGGGACACTAGCGAAT